ACAGGAGAATAAAAGGGCATTAAGCATTTTTTGCTTAATCTAAATAAAAGTAATATGATCATACCCAGTCATCATTATCATACCCAGTCATTGTCATACCCGGATCACTATACCCATTATAAATGTAATACTATCTTAGCGATAATGTTATAAAGTGTATATTTTAATATAACTTACTTGGTTTTTATAATAACTCATCTTTTTTACGCCATTCATTGCAATGAATTCAATAAATGCACCATGCATTCAGTTGTTTTTCACTATTGGCATTTTCGTTACGACCGTCACGGTTACGACCATCACGACAAAAAATATAACAAAATTCTTGTAAAACATTAAGCAAAAACTATAAAACTTGGCTTATAGCAAGATTAATATGTAGTGAATGCACACAGATAAAAGGATTTATTTTTTTTCACCGCGTAGATGACTGCATAAAGATTGTCAAAGCCGATTTGTTTAGAATTGTCAAAAAGTAAGCGTTACGACCGTCACGCTACGTTAAGACGATTTTTCAAATAAGTTGAAGATTTGAATACTTTAAATTTTGTATACTAAATTTTATAATAGTATTTAACATTTCTTCAAAATTTCAAATCAATATCATTCTTATTTGACTTTTAATAACTAAAAAAGTGTCAAATGTTACGACCGTCACTTGCGTGGAATTGCCCATATATATATATATATATATACACACATGCCAATTAAACCTCCTTCACTTTGAACTCTCGACATGATAAACAAGGAATATATTTTTTATTTTTGTATCTCCTCACAACAACCCTTTCTTGCGATTGTTAAGTTCAAAATTTGACTTGTCCGAGAAAATTACTTTTCTCTATTGCTCTACAGTCCACGCAGCTCTCTCTTTGTATCATTTTCTTCACTTAAGACAGTCTTTGACCCATAGCTGTGGCTTCTTTGTTGCAAGGTATAAATTAAGATGTTTTTTCTTCATCAGCTTGCAAATTGTTGATCGGCTAACTTGATTTGCACCCATTGCTGTATTCAGGTCTGAAGCGATTTCGGCTATGCTCATGTTCGGGTTGTGTCTAGCGAGTATAATTGCTTTATTTTTGTCCCTTTCTGTCATTTTTTCGGGATGAGCAAAGCGACTTTTATGTTCGACTGTTCCAAACTCATTATAGTTTTTGAGCGTTGTTCTAACTCTGCATTCACTGATTTTAAGTTGATGTCCGATTTCTCAATTGCTGAGACCACTTTTGTGCAACCAACAACTTGCCACTTTGTTTCAATTGATATGCTCTTTAAACCCATTTTATTGTTGGAGCAATTTTAAAGTTTTAACTGACTGTATTTCAAATGATAGTTCCGTCACTTCAATTAATGGTTCTTATATTTTTTATTGACTATTATTAATTAGCAGAGAGTCATTAACCCTTTCGCAACTGAGCTAAAAACAGCTACATGACTGCACATAAAATACTGAACTAGGATCACGATCAATTGAAAGAGTATAAAATAAAAACTACAAGTCAGAATTTTAAAAACAAGAACTTGTTTTTTTTGTCTAAGAATTGACTTTCAGAATATTTAAAAACTTTGAAAAAATTTTGTTTATCTTAGCTACGTGATCAAAATATATTATGTTAAAATTAACAAAAATATATAGTTTTTTTATGTAAACTTAAATAAATAAAAAAGAAATAGATAAACATATCATTTTTGATATTAATTTAATGAAGCCTTTATAGTGCTGATCAAAAAAAAAAAAAATATCTACAACTATCATTGAAAAAAATATAAATGATTTCATTTATATCAATATAATATAATCTGTTCTTCATCATTTTTTAAAATAGATTTTTGAGCGATCTATAAATGAAATTAAGAAACAGTTTGAAGCATTAACTAAAGAAATTATTCACAATTCAAAGATAATTTTAAAGTTTTTCCTAACTGCTATAGATGTTTTGAAATATTTAAAATTGTTTATGCACCGCCATACAGGTCACTCTTCATTTAGATACAAATTTTATGAACGGGTCATGCATCATGAAAGGGTTAACAAAAATTAGTCAAAAAACTTTTTCTCAAAGGACTTAAAAGAGTATGCTAATACATTTTAAATGAGTGTGCTAATACTTTTGTATGCTTAATTTCAGACATTTTTTGGCGAAGTCATTAAACTTTTAATTAACTAATAAAAAAAAACAAGCAGGTTGACTAATATTTGACATTATAATTAAATTTAATTGGTTTTGCCTTTCATTAAAAAAAAAAATTATTTCAAAATTAAAATTACTTTACAATTTATATTGATTTGAAGTTGTCTTAAATAAAAAAATTACAAGTGCACTAATTTCTAGAAGCACTGTATATATATATATATATATATACATTTATATATATACATATATATATATACATAATATATATATATATACATATATATATATATATATATTTATATATATATATATATATTGCATATCCATTTATATATGATGTCATTACAATATCTTTTTAAGATTTT